CAGCCTGCCTGAATAAATACTTACCTGCCCTGCCTGGTGCCGCACATCCCTGCCCCGCTCCTCTTCTGCTCATGTGTGCTGGGGCCCATTTCCTATAGGTGAGCAGACGTAGTACATCCCAACCGTAGGGGGTCAATGGGGCTTCGGCAGGCAGATGGAGTGTGGGATGGTTATAACCTTTGTCGAGTTCCTATTACTTCCTGTTACCCCCCCATTGGGGACACTCACCCTCTCGGTTTATCCCGGCGATTTGTCAGAACTCCAAAATGTTAACGTGAACAGTAAGGCCCCGTTCACATTGAGCGATTTATCGCGCGGTAATTCCCGCAATATCGCGGCTATTTACCGCGCGATATCGCTCTTCAATGCTTTGCAATGGGGAAAAGGGTCCTGCTGTCGCGGGTCGTGTGTCGCTACAGCAGGACCCTTTTTGGAGCGGATTTTGCCCCCGATTCAATGCTTTCAAATGCGAATCGCCAAGTGTGAATGGGGCCTAATAGAGGGAACATTTTCCCATGGGGACAGATATCAATGTTGGGATTTCCCCTCACTTTTTGGAGAGCATTGTTCCCACTTCCTGTTGCGTCCGCTGGACAGGAAGTGAAAGGAAATCTCCCCAATGCCCCACAGACAGAACAGAAAAAAACAGATGGGGGCTTTAAAGGAGAACTATGAGGTCCGGGCTTTTCCCCATAGTTCTCCTTAGGGTAACGGGAGCACACAAACTAGCGTCCTCCCGTCACCCTAGGCTCAGTATATAGGGAGCTGCTGCTCGCGGTATACTGAGACGCCGCAGCTGAAGCGGATCCCGACAATTGTGCCTGGATCCGCCCAGCTGTGTGAGTGACAGCTGGTTCTGCCTATCTAGAGGCAGAGCCAGCTGTACCCGCCCCCTCCCCCGTCCGGTCCGCCAGTCAGCCCTGGCGGATCGGAGCGGGGAGGGGGGGAATCCAGCCCCTCCCCCTGTCACGGCAGAGAGCTGTGACAGGATCGAGAGGTGAGCTGGAATGTGACCATGTTTCTTTATTAGGGTCCGGATCGGGTTGGGCGAGTATGAAACATTTGGATATTTATATTGTGCAGTCTTGTATCCTGCCAGCAGGTGTCAATCTGGTCGTCTTCTCACATATTGAACTATTTCAGTTTTCACCTTGTGCTAAAAAGAAAATCCTTACAGAACTCCAAATGAGTTATCACAGCAGTAGTGCCTCCCTCATCAGCTCAATAGGAGGTTTCAATCAGACAAAGGCAGCTGCAAAGCAAGGTCATCTCTGCTGGGTTGTCTCTTTTTAGCTAACCCGTAGTGCTCTGGGGATCCTTATCCGTGTGTCAGTTTTGCCGTGCACTTATTACCTGAATAAAATGAATATACATCCTAATAATGTGTCCTGTGTTTGTGTATATACTGTACACCCCAATGCACATTCATATTACATACAAGAAACTGCAAATCGCGTATTGGGAACACTGACGTGTGCACAGGGGAGAGCACCGTAACTCAGTGGAGGCGTAAAGGAGTCGTGAAGTCTCCTCTCCCGTTGTCCCGGCCGTCTCCTCTCCCGTTGCCCCGGCCGTCTCCTCTCCCGTTGCCCCGGCCGTCTCCTCTCCCGTTGCCCCGGCCGTCTCCTCTCCCGTTGCCCCGGCCGTCTCCTCTCCCGTTGCCCCGGCCGTCTCCTCTCCCGTTGTAGTGAGCGCCACCTTCCGTCCGCCCGTCACTGCCAACAACTTCCTGTCTCTTTCCCGGCTGCTTGTTGTGATGCAATCTCCATTTCCCAAGATTGCATATCCCATCATGCATCGCTTCCAGCCAGCAATGATAATGTTACATGGCTCAGACCATGTGTTGTGGTTCAGAAGCCGGGCTCTGCGAGCGGTGACACCAGGAAGTGCGTATTCCCAGGGCTGAGTGAAATGGTGTCACCGCAAGTTTACAAACTTCTAGGTGGATCCGGTCATTAGGAGCGGGATCGAACTTACAACAATTCAATAGAGAAATACAGAATTATTTTTTGACCATAACGCAGAGTCATATATGTAATATAAACGTGTCCACAGAGCATATAGACCTATAGTAACCCAGAGCAGCCAATCAGAAATCAGCTTTTCCAGTCTACATTGTGTGTGTGTGTGTGGCGCTCTCGCTGTATACTCCGCCATGTGTTGTATGATCTGCTCCGGGATCAGCCGTGACCTCCCTGATCATTGTCGTTGCCGTTGCAGGATCATCCAGAGCTACGCGTTGCGGGAAGAGGCCGGGACTCTGTCGTCGGAAGCCTCCGACTTCAACAAGGCGCATATGAGTCGGCGAGGCGGGATCATGGCGTCTCTGTACACCTCCCACCAGGCGGACAGCGCCCTCACGCTCGATCTGTCTCTGGAGATTAACAGGAAGCTGCAGGCCGTGCTGGAGGACACGCTGCTGAAGAACATCACACTCAAGGTGAGAGCTAAGCTCCTCCCACTTCTGGGGTCTTTCATTGACGAGTACTGTTGAGCTGCATTTGACCTTCTTTACCCCACTGTCCTCCCTCATTGCTCCAAACTCTGCCCACTGTCCTTCCTGCCATCTCTGCTCTCCTGCCTGCCTTTAAACTCCACCCACTGTCCCCTCCCTCCAGCCTGCAAACTCCGCCCACTGCCCTCCAGCCTGCAAACTCTGCCCACTGCCCTTCTTGCCTGCAAACTCTGCCCACTGCCCTTCTTGCCTGCAAACTCTGCCCACTGCCCTTCTTGCCTGCAAACTCTGCCCACTGCCCTTCTTGCCTGCAAACTCTGCCCACTGCCCTTCTTGCCTGCAAACTCTGCCCACTGCCCTTCTTGCCTGCAAACTCTGCCCACTGCCCTTCTTGCCTGCAAACTCTGCCCACTGCCCTTCTTGCCTGCAAACTCTGCCCACTGCCCTTCTTGCCTGCAAACTCTGCCCACTGCCCTTCTTGCCTGCAAACTCTGCCCACTGCCCTTCTTGCCTGCAAACTCTGCCCACTGCCCTTCTTGCCTGCAAACTCTGCCCACTGCCCTTCTTGCCTGCAAACTCTGCCCACTGCCCTTCTTGCCTGCAAACTCTGCCCACTGCCCTTCTTGCCTGCAAACTCTGCCCACTGCCCTTCTTGCCTGCAAACTCTGCCCACTGCCCTTCTTGCCTGCAAACTCTGCCCACTGCCCTTCTTGCCTGCAAACTCTGCCCACTGCCCTTCTTGCCTGCAAACTCTGCCCACTGCCCTTCTTGCCTGCAAACTCTGCCCACTGCCCTTCTTGCCTGCAAACTCTGCCCACTGCCCTTCTTGCCTGCAAACTCTGCCCACTGCCCTTCTTGCCTGCAAACTCTGCCCACTGCCCTTCTTGCCTGCAAACTCTGCCCACTGCCCTTCTTGCCTGCAAACTCTGCCCACTGCCCTTCTTGCCTGCAAACTCTGCCCACTGCCCTTCTTGCCTGCAAACTCTGCCCACTGCCCTTCTTGCCTGCAAACTCTGCCCACTGCCCTTCTTGCCTGCAAACTCTGCCCACTGCCCTTCTTGCCTGCAAACTCTGCCCACTGCCCTTCTTGCCTGCAAACTCTGCCCACTGCCCTTCTTGCCTGCAAACTCTGCCCACTGCCCTTCTTGCCTGCAAACTCTGCCCACTGCCCTTCTTGCCTGCAAACTCTGCCCACTGCCCTTCTTGCCTGCAAACTCTGCCCACTGCCCTTCTTGCCTGCAAACTCTGCCCACTGCCCTTCTTGCCTGCAAACTCTGCCCACTGCCCTTCTTGCCTGCAAACTCTGCCCACTGCCCTTCTTGCCTGCAAACTCTGCCCACTGCCCTTCTTGCCTGCAAACTCTGCCCCCTGCCCTCCAGTCTGCAAACTCTGCCCACTGCCCTCCAGTCTGCAAACTCTGATCACTGCCCTCCAGTCTGCAAACTCTGATCACTGCCCTCCAGTCTGCAAACTCTGCCCACTGCCCTCCAGACTGCAAACTCTGCCCACTGCCCTCCAGACTGCAAACTCTGCCCACTGCCCTCCAGACTGCAAACTCTGCCCACTGCCCTCCAGACTGCAAACTCTGCCCACTGCCCTCCAGACTGCAAACTCTGCCCACTGCCCTCCAGACTGCAAACTCTGCCCACTGCCCTCCAGACTGCAAACTCTGCCCACTGCCCTCCAGACTGCAAACTCTGCCCACTGCCCTCCAGACTGCAAACTCTGCACACCGCCCTCCAGACTGAAAACTCTGCCCACTGCCCCCCTTCTTGCCTGCAAACTCTGCCCACTGCCCTTCTTGCCTGCAAACTCCGCCCACTGCCCTCCTTTTCCCTGCTGTGTAACCTGTTAGATGCCGATCTGAATGGAGAAAAAGCTGCCACCTTCACACTTGAAGCTGACAGCTTTTTCCTCCATAATTCTAGGTGCTCCCCCGCCCCCGTCCCTGCTTTGCCGTGCTGGAGGGCTCACTGCAAGGATAAGTTTTTTTTTGTTTTGTTTTTTTAAAATCCGGATGTTCAGCTTTGACTCCTCCACGTCCATCCGAAACTAAACATGCACTTTTATTTTGGGGGTGTCATCAGAGCCCCCCCCTCCCCCCTTTGGTGAGTCGATCTTGCATTGAGTTCTCGTCTCTTTTTTTCTGCGCAGGAGAATCTGCAGACGCTGGGGACGGAGATCGAGCGACTGATTAAACAGAACCACGAATTGGAGCGCCGCATGTAGCTGACGCGGGATCGCTCAGATCATGGACCACTCAGCACTTTTTTTTTTTTTACTTCAATCATTTAATACTCCACGTCTGGAACTTCGCGGGTCCGGGAACGCCGGTCACACTGTCCCGTAGGAAGGTCTGTGATCTACACAAGCGATTTGCACTAGAGAACTCCGGGAACGGCGTCACTTCTATTCAGGTTATGTGTCGGTAATCGTCAGGCAAGTCATGTGACTTTTCTCTCCATCAGCTGCCAGCTACCTATTGGGTTATTCTAAAACTACAAGTCCCAGCAGGCCAGAGTGAAATGCTTGGGAGCCGATAATGCTGACCTCCTAACAATGCCGATTGCCTGGCTGTCGGCGGCTCGGAACAAGTTGGAGTGAAATCGCGGCCTCTGATCTGCGCGCTTGCTCCGGGTCAGTTTAGAAAGCGGCGACGCTGTCGGGTCGGCATGGCGGCCAGGGAACCGGTATTTCCAGAAAAAGGGGGTCAGTAGCTCTTCCGTTTATTTAGATTGTACAATCCAGAATGTAACGTGTGTAGCCGGCTTTATGGACCAGTAAAGGCCAGTGACCCCGCCAGCGGCCAATCGGATCCCAGTATTCTCTAGGCACAGCAGTGACCGATCTTCTGATTGGTTGCTTTGGGTCAGTGGCCCCCCGAGCGAGCTGCTGGAAGAAGCCCCAATGGGAAGATTTCTATCTCCTGTGCTGTCCCAATGAAAGGTGCGACCAAGCGCAGAGAGAACGGGCCGAAGGAAAACTCCATCACCTGGAAAGGAAATGG